AGTGTCGTTCACTTTAAATGCTATCGCCTTATTCACTTCTAACCACCATCTATTTCCATTTATAATGCATGTGACTTAATAGCAACATCAAGGTAAACCATACAAGATGCATATATGACAAAAACAGAGATTATTTGCAATCCTAAATATCAACGGGAAGATTCAAATAATCAATATAAATGAATCATTGTATCACTTTGATTATCATTAACGTTGTGGTTATTTATTTCTTGGATATTCAATGTCGAATTATCTAGACAAAACTCTTAATATACGATTATATTAAACAACGGTTGTAGAAAAACTACACATTTATTTATTTAAACACATAAATATTGGTACAAAGGGGCACCGAATACATATGCGCCACACAAGTCACTTGATTTCTGTGTGGACTGTCATACTGTCCAGATACCGAAATCGAAGCAGGTGGTTTTATTAGGGGACCATACCCCAAGCCTTTCACCTAAGAGTCTAATCCACAACGCAGTAGAGCAATGTAAGGAAATACAGTCTCATAGTAGCCGGTGACCAACAACAAGTTCATACACCATTTGTTCCTTCAGGATACTGAAGCCCATGTGCACCACTGGTTTGGAATCAGGATTTTCCGACTCCCATAGATGGATCCTCCATATCCACCAACCCGGATAAAGCGCCGGGCATTCGCTTTACGTCCTCTTAATTTTGTAAACAACAGTAATCCCGCAAGAAGGCAGTGACATTTGTTGTATGCACGTGGCCAATTGAGAGCATTTCGAGAGGGAAACTGGACTCTCCGCACTCTCGGCCATACCAGGGCATTTGTAGAAAAATTACAGTAAACAATAATCGATGAAATGTGCTACAAATTTAGATAATTACAAGTTACTACTGAATCGCAGCTCTACAAGTCAATTTGTACAATATCGATAGAAAAAAAACATTGTGAATATAATCAATTATAGTTCATGATTGTATATATACAAGGACCTGAGTAGTCTCTCTCTCTCTCTCTCTCTCTCCTATTCTCAATTATGTATACACACACAACACTAAAGGTACAAACATAAGTGTTTACGGGCTTACATGAATAAAGTCAAATTATTTAGAGAAACTAAGATAAATAACTATGCATAAACAAATAAGTTATATCATAAATTTCATTAAAATAATGCACACTATTTACATAATTAAAAGTAGTCTTTATAAATGAATATGCAAACATGTTCATATAAATATCACACATACACACACACACACAAATACACACATAAATGGACAAACAGATGAAACGAAGCATTTAAAAGTGTAATTCGTTGAAATATCAACACAGAAATGTAACTAACCACCATAGAAATGAAAGGGTAAAGGGGTGAGAGAGAGAGAGAGAGAATGAGAGTGGAGAAAAACGGTGTATCAGAATTTCAATGAATAAATATACATAATCTATATAAACATGTAAAGATTGTATCATACATAAATGACATAACAACAAAACAGAATGAAAAAAAACGATACAATTTAGACATAAAGTGAGTATTTTGTTTCATGTACAAGAAAGCGTTCAGATGGAAAAGGATTTGAATATATAAACAAACAAAAAAAAAGTATGGTTGGTTAAAATGGATGTCACCAACAAAAAAAACAAAAAAACTTGACGAGGTTAACTTTATTCATCATTTCGAGATACACTTTGAGCTATTCGATTTTATATGTGGACCTCAGTTTTATTTTTAGTATACTCTGCTGTATACAGATTGTTCAGCTTCATCAATATATTTATTATTTATTTATTTTAACACATAGATATTGGTACAAGGAGGCACCAAATACGTATGAGTCACACAAATCTCATTCGATATGTGTGAGGGCTGTGATACTCCCCGGGTGCCCAAACCGAAGCAGGTAGTTTTCTTAGGGAGCCACACCCGGAGCATCCGACCTGAAGGTCTGATCAACAACGCAGTGGAGCATCGTAAGGAGATGCAGTCTCATGGAAGCCGGTGACCAACGATTGGTTCATGCACCATTTGTTCGTTTAGGATACTGGAGCCCATGTGCACCATTGGTTTGGTTTGGAATCCGGTTAAAGCGCCGGATATTCGCTTTTCGTCCTCTCATTTTCGTAAACAACGCCCCCACCACGAGAAGGCAGTGAGTATATATCAGGAGAGTCAAAGTCAATGTATTTCATATGCTCAACTGACTGTGGAATACCTAACCTTACTAATAATTATGACCAAGTAGTTAGTGTTAGATTAGATTGGGAAAAAAATATATTGAGTGCGCAGAGTACAACTTGATACAAAATTATGTGAAATTGTCTATCGTTAGTTTGGTTCTATACAGTAAAAACATATAGGCTATCTAAGTGTGAAGAAATTAACGACAATGTCATGAATGTACACACCTCTACTATTAGTTTAATCTCGAGCTAAATTATGATTAAGAACAACTAAAAAATCCCAAATTCAATAAATAAATAAATAAAAGATGTCTAGTGATCCCTAGTTTCTGATAATTTTCTAGCAAGTGTTATTCAAGGAGTACAACCCAGTGGAATAAATTTGGAAAGAGAAAAGAAGGGAAATGAAGAATTCAGAAAGTTAGAATTTGGGAGAACACAAAGAGTGGATGAACCTGCGCTAGTGCAAATGATTTTGAGCCATGTCATTCAAAGCCTCTTACCATCGGTTGCCATGGTCTCGCGGATCCCAACCAGGTAGTCTACATCTACCAACACTGCTCAGTCCACTTGTCAGTGACTTCATTGATTTCTGTCATGTTTTGGTCTGGCCACCCCTAGCTTTCTTCCAACATACTCCTACACCACAAAACATCGCAGGTCGAGACAGTCGTTGGTTGAGCATACGTAACACATGTCCCAGTTATCTCAAATGATGAAGTTTCATTACTTCGTCATTTAATTTGCCATCCTTACCAATATAGTATTTTACTAAATATCAAGACAATTTGTCTAATTACTTGATGTTATACCATAATCATAAGCATGAGTTCGGTCAAATTTATTGTAACATTACAAATCAGTCAGTCAGTTACAACGTTCTCCCCATACCCGACCATTGTTGATACCTTGATGTGGTGGTCGGACTTGCCTATCGTGATGAACCGATCGAGCTATACTGGCTGCAACAACCATTCCTCAAGGCCCTACCATACCACACAGGTCGCTTGAAGAGCGGTAAGACTAAAAGCAGCAAACCTAAGGTCTGAGGGCGAAGTCGTATTTCTGACTGTACAGATATGTGACAGCAGTAAGGTGTCTCCTTCAGACAACCACCATAACAGCGATGCTGCCTTCCCACAAGGAGGGGTGAGGTTAGAATAAGTCCACCTTAAAAATCCACACCTCACCTTATCCCACGGATATCCGTCTGCAGCGGTAAGGTATCAACAAAAATTACTCACAAAAAGGTCGTGTATGACCGACCTCAACCAGTTGTACTTTGGTCACTGAAGTCACGCTCTCAGGTCACTAAGACCACCTCTAATCCAATATCCTTATTAGGTACCCCCAGAAGAACCGTTCTATAGTGTGAGTAACGGGAAAGTGAGAACCGCCCTCACACCACTAACAACACTCAAAACCACTGTATTCAATAATAAACAATCCTTGTTTTCATATAATTCTATAAACCATTAAAGATAGTTTATGAGTTGAAGAGTAAACAGAATAAACTCATTACATAATAATTACACATAACTTTAATCAGTTCAGAGTGATTAACCTTCATCATAGAGTTACAATGATCTACTTATTAATGTTAAAAAGTACAACGCTTTTTTAATTAGATATGTATATTACTCAAATGGTTTCCATAAAAAATAAGATCGATACACACATTCACCTTAATTAAAGCATAATACAAAATTATAATGAACTACGTTAGATTGTATCCCTGATAATTTTAAATAGAGTCATAATGAATTGAATCAATGAAAATACATTAATTAAAGTTCTATTTTTTTAACGGTAATCATATCAGATATTGAGGCTAAGAAATGATATTACATTACTACTATATATGTAAGTATACGTATATGATATGATTTTTGAGAGGTTTATTTTATATCCAAAGGAGTTAGACATAATCATCTATGGAGTTATTGTAATAATATCAGATAATAGTCGCTTATTAATACTATTATTGGTAGCCTGTTTGAATATCTGCCCCCAAATGCCTTGGTATGGCCGAGAGTGGGGTGGGATCGCCCGTCCTCTCGAAATATTCTCACACGGCCACGCGTATACAGCCTCTGCCAGGGAAGTCCTACTCACTACCTTCTCGTGGAGGAAGTGTTGTTTACGAAATTGAGAGGACGAAAAGCGAATGTCCGGCGCTTTAACCGGATTCCAAACCAAACCAATGGTGCACATGGGCTCCAGTATCCTAAACGAACGAATGGTGTATGAACCAATCGTTGGTCACCGGCTTCCATGAGACTGCATCTCCTTATGATGCTCCACTGCGTTGTGGATTAGACCTTCAGATCGAATGCTCCGGGTGTGGTCCCCTAATAAAACCACCTGCTTCAGTTTTGGCACCCGGGGAGTATCACAGCCCTCACACATATCGAATGAGATTTGTGTGACGCATACGTATTTGGTGCCTCCTTGTACCAATATCTATGTGTTAAAATAAATAAATAATAAATAATAATAATAGAACTAACAGGTATAAAGAATAGTTCCGGTTGTTATCATGGTCATTTGTATTATTGGTTGAAGTGGTCATTGATTAGATGAAGAATAAAGCGAACACACCATTAGATGACTGTAATCTAATGACCCGATTGAATGGGAAGTGTAAACAAGTTAAATTTATAACAGCATACAATTATTCATACAACTCAAAATGACAATTAATGATTTCAATCAAAGGTGAATATCATTGTACCATACAACATGATCAATTACAGCAACAACAACCAAAAAATGAACATTTAGGATATAAAAGTATGTATAATAATTCTTCCTTTTTCACATTCTAACTTACCCTACTTCGTGTATTCACATTAGCATGATACTGATGAATCAATAATTTCAGACAGTTTATATTACCAAATTTTGCTGCATAATGTAATGCAGTCTACAATGTATTAGTGAAAAAAAAAGAAAAATACATGAATAGGAAACCAAGTAGAATAAAACGATGTTTTATCATTATGTTTAATCATTAAGTTTATAGGTTAGAACCCCTTCACCTGACACCAAACTATATGTTACAGTTTTATTGGTGAGCTTTATATATATGATATGATTTGCAGTCTAATATACTCACTGAAGAAAATCAATACCACTCGGTAGAGTAATAGTCGAAGCAAGTTAGATCGGTTACAAATATTGATTATTAAACTTATTGATAAGAGTCGATTTCTAGGGATGCTAGGAATCTAGGAAGAAATTCCACTTCAGCCATAACTGAGCAAAGTTAGTAATTGGTTGTCTTTGTACATTAGATTTACTGACCGACATAACAGGAACCTTGGAGATAAGTTTTTCAGACAATATGATTTGATTACATCGTCACGAAAGCCATTTTCAATAGCAAAGTTAATGTAATTAGTTACAGCTGGTCTCTAAAAACTCGATGATGAGCACGAAATGTAGCTTAAGCAAGGCTCCCTGTTGATATGTGACGATGGACCACCGGTGAACTCGAGGAAGCTGTAAGAGGCTCAGAAGGAGCCGAAGACGTCCCATCCAATCACCTTTCGGAAGAGTGTTCTAGAATTCCAACGTGTAGCTTCCCGATTGGATAATGCTAATAACCCCGTGTATGCGGATTAGAAGACTGTAATGATGATTTCGTTCTCACTAAAAACTATAAATACCAGACAATTTTGTACTATGATTGACACTGTTTGGAATAATATTCCTTTCGTTAGCCTTCTGTCTTCTTACTGCGACTTGGAAGGGTTTTGGTGTTCTAGTGCTCTGTTATACGCGGTAGTATCAAGAAAAATCAACTTTTCAAGATATAACAATATTCTTCAACCATCTGACAAACTAAACTGTGATGTCGAGTCACATAAACCAATGGCTACGTTGGAACTTGATAAACGGAATGTGGGCAGTAGAATATGGAATAGACATGATCAGATTGGTCACTACTCAGTAACCAATCAATACAAATATCTTAGACCTGAAGGACTAAAGTTTGTAGTTGCTAGAATAACTTACTATTAACCCTTCTTACTGTATGATTAGGTGATAGGTATTTAAATTCAAACAGGGAGTCCCCAAACTCAAAGGATGATGGATAAGGATTTGGACCTGTGATTTAATGGTTAAAAGTTGACTATCTTAAAAGCTACCTTGACATTCTATAGTCTCTTCACAAATTACCTTACTTTACTCGCAAATGAAAACAAAATACAGAACAAGACTTACCCACTAGAATAATCCACATTCAATTTTCATGAATTGTATATGCAAAGGGGAGAAGGCGGGTAACAAATACAAGAAACAGACAAAAATTATGAATACGTACAGAATAGTATAGTTATTTTTTAATCAGTTAAAACATGAATAGGAATGATTTCATTCTATAAAGTACCAATGATGGTGCTGCATGCTTTCATATGAACAGCTTAATTGTGAAGTTATCATTGTTGCAACAGTTGAGATCATGAGTAAGTTGAAGCTAGACCACCATGGAAAACCTAGAAGCAATGGACGGCCGTTTCGTCCTATTGTGGGACTCTTCAGCAGTGCGCATCTGATACTAATCAACATATGCTCACTAGTGACTGGCTTCAAGAGATATATCCAGGAGTTCTAGTAAGAAGTAGTGATCAGTGGAGTTCGACCGGGTCAGTTGTGAGGTAGTAACTCACTGAATACAATGGTGGATGCGTCGCTCAATCTTGTGGATTAATTGATGTTAGACATTAACACCGTTGGATCTTGTCCGGCTCAGTGGTCTAGTTGGTTAACGCCTGGTGCGAGACTGATAGGTCCTGAGTCCGAATCCCCGGGGCAGGGGCGTGGATGCGCTCTGCTAAGGAGTCCCACAATAGGACGGAACGGCCATCCAGTGCTTCGAGGTTTCCCATGGTGGTCTAGCTTCAATTGACTCATGATCTCAACTGTTGAAATATCTACAATCTCCACAAAACCCCTTCTGATACTTATGATTGTTTGTTCACAACGTTATTATTAACATAGAAACTCCCAGAAGAAACATTTATACATATTCGGTACAAGGAGGCACCATATATATATATAAACATATATATATATATATATATATATATATATATATATATATATATATATAAACGCCACATAGATCAAATAATTTGTGTAAGAGCTAGGATATTACCCAGGCGCCCAAACTGAAGCCCATATATTCGTGTTAGCTAGAAATAATCTCTTCAAAAAAGGTTATTGGAATTATGAATTAGCTCAGTATTCTTAGTAAGCATAAACTTAAATGTAAAGTTGTTAGCGGAATATAAACTGGATTAAAGTACATTCCGCGAAAGATTATGTTGGGACACACTGATTGGCTACTTCCTAACCAATCGGCGCTAGTGGATACTTGGAGAAGACTCTAGAATCTCCTCGTATGAAAACTATAAATATACTAACGTTTTTCTTATTGTAATTCCTACTTCTATCTACTTTTGTTATTTGGAAAGTAATCTCGTTTCGATCCAACCGTGTTCTGGTTTGGAGACTTGTCGAGTGAATTGGTGTCCAAGAATACTAAGCAATGGAAATATCTGGGTCGTAATAAAGAGAGATTATAACAAAATTATTGCTTGAATAATATAGACCATTTGTAAATGATAACTATCAATTATCATAAGAGTGTAATAAATTAGTTTGTCTACTGATACAATCGTTTTACACACAATTACAGAGATCTTTTGTATTCAGTTTGAAATCATTCGTGAAGATGTAATAAAGATATTCTGTTAATATCTGATACATGAATGTTTCACACAGAATTTCTAACATTTCCTCCCGCCCGCCCCCCACAGAATTTTAATATACTTGAGCTTCGAATACAAAGCAAAAAGTGGAACTTTTGAAAATAAGCTTCATTTTCAATGTTATTTTACGTACAGAAAATAAAGATATATATGGCTGTATGTGTGATCATGATCTATTTGACGCTTCCGAAAGTATGTAAAAATTAGTTACAAAACCGGGAATTACACAATCAAGATATGATACACAGTTTATCGTGTTGATAAAACACTCTCGGAAGCTTCAGTTGAACCCTGATTGGAATACATACATATATATTTCAATAGTTGAGATGATGAGTCAATTGAAGTTAGACCACTATGGAAAACCTGGGAGCACTGGACGGCCGTTTCGTCCTATTGTGGGACTCCACAGCGATGCGCATCCACAATCCCGCCTCGCGAGATTCCAACACAGGACTTATCAGTGTCGCACGCGAGCGCTTAACCAAGACCACTGAGTCGGCCAGCATCCAACAGTGTTAATATAAGGCTTCAACTAATCCACGAAATCGAGTGACACATCCACCATTGTCTTCAATGAGTTACTATCTCACAACAAACCTGGTTGAACTCCACTGGTCACCGTCTCTCACTAAAACTCCAGGATATACCTTTTGGAGCCAGTTACTAGTGAGCATATGTTGATTCATATCAGAATGGTTTTTGTGGATATTATAGTAATTTCAATGGTTGAGATCATGAGTCAATTGGAGCCAGACCACCATGGAAAACCTGGAAGCACTGGACGGCCGTTCCGTCCTATATATATATATATATATATATATATATATATATATATATATATTATAATTTTTCCTTTATTGATGATCAATCAGAGCTATAACTTGAAGTGGTGAATATTTAAGATGTGGTGACTTACACATTAATTAGACCATTCCGCTTTCGTTCAGCAGATTGAAAACTGGCACCAGTCAACAGATGAAACAGTGAATCCACATTTTGTGTTAATTGGCATAAACACATTAGGAAGGTGTGTATATTAGCTTACAGAAATTTATCAATGGTCCGAAGAGATCAGCTCTGAGAAAATAGACGTCAATTTTCCTAAGATTACATGAATCAGTGCAAACCAGAAATTAACCTAATTTAGACTTATGTACTGACGATTACTACCGATGACCAAATAAGGAGTATCACGCAAACTATTCCTCAACTGGTTTACCATTTATTTATTTATTTACTTTATTTGAACACATAGATATTGGTACAAGGAGGCACCATATACACATGCGCCACACAAATCTCATTTGGTATATGTGAGAGCTGTGATACTGCTCAAGTGCCTAAACCGAAGCAGGTGGTTTTCTTAGGGAGCCACACCCGGAGCCTTCGACCAAAAGGTTTGATCCACAACGCAGTGGAGCATCGTAAGGAGATGCAGTCCAATGGTAGCCGCTGTCCAATAACTGGTCCATACGCCATTTGTTCCTTCAGGACAATGGAGCCTATGTGCACCATTGGTTTGGGATCAAGGTTTTCTAATTCCCCTAAGTAGACTCTCCGTTTCCACCAAGCCGGCTAAAGCGCCGGACATTCGCTTTTCGTTCTCTCAGTTTCGTAAACAACAGTGATGCCACGAGAAGGCAGTGAGCAGGACTTTCCTGGCAGAGGCTATATACGCGTGGCCATGTGAGAGCGTTTCGAGAGGGAGAGCCGACTCTCCCCACTCTCGGCCGTACCAGGGCATTTGGAGGCTTTATCAAGTCATACTGAGTTCATATTGATAAAAAATTAACTTTCGGATACATCAATGATGACTTAAAATCTAGACTGCATTCGGTATTAAACAATCAACCACTGAATTAATCATCAAATTATACAAACACACAAAAAAAACACGAACTTACACCATTCACTGGATCCTGTTACAATACAGTAAAAATAAAACATAAAACGGAGAAATTTAAAACACAAGAATATATCGAAATCAGAATACGAAATTAATATTTATCAAAATCTAAGTAATCCATAATAAACCGTAAATAATGATTACGCCAAATTATGGACTAAAATTCTGATCCTTCTCAATCTAGGATGAAAGTAATCCGATGAGTTTAGAATATATCATTTATGGTTAACAGTATGATTTATCAGATGGATGTATCCGTCAATACGCCAATACGCTATTCACTGGGTTTCTGAATTCAGATAGCCATTAACCTGTTCAACAGATACCCTGAGTAATAACGAGGTAATCTCTTATATATTCTTTTACTAAGTATTTACAATATAGTGAATGAAATAACAGCATATCGTTGTGCACGTGTGTGTGTATACATACAAAATATGTGTATTTATAAATATGGTTTACAGTTATAGTACGTTATCTGTATCTTGCAAGGCCCACATGGTAATGTAAGGTATCAGAGTAAAAGGGACATAAAAACTATAAGTAATCATAGTGATTACTGCAGGAAATCAAAGAAACATGAAAAGTATTTGAAAAATATTGAGTGTTACCGACAAAATGATTATTACTCTAATAATAACAGTGTTGACATTGATGAAAAGACAAAATGAAGAAGTGTTCGAACTCACGATCTAAATTAAAACATTAAATGCATCTGGATAATTGTAACCGATTCTGACTCGTGTTACCTTACATTTGCAATCGTTAATCGTAGTGGTTATCTGAACTCCTACCAAGTAATTCGCATTTACCAACATCCTTCATGCCAAAAAGCAATGGCTCCATGAAATGATGTCACGTTTTGGTTTGGTCGCTTTTACTTTTCTTCCAACTTACTCTCTTATATTAGCTAGCATTGACCGCTGGGTCGGGCAATGGTTAGATCTAAGTAACACAAGTATCATGTAGTTTGGACAGTGAATAGTAAGTAACTAATATCATGTTGTATCCAGACCTCATAGTTGATCCAATCTTTAAAAGATCAATAATTCATTCAATATTTCAGGCACATTTGTAGATGAAAGTATTAACTAACATGAAACTTAGGTCGATTGGCCCCAATCATATAACATTATTCACTAACACCTATTATTATCTGATCAATAATTAGAGTTGTTATAAATAACTTCGTGGTCATTTATCACAAGTTTGTATGATCATCATATAGTGTATGTGTAATAATGGAAATTTTAATAATAATACCGTTTTTAATTCATTTTGTAACAAAACTGGATCTGTATCTATTACATTTTTATGCCTATTTTATCATTTATGATGTTTTAGACAATATTCCAGTATGAGTTAAATCAACGATGAGTACAGAGTTTAAAGTTGTGGCCTAGTAAGCTATAAAGTAGTTCATTTACAACCACAGGTTAAAATCCTATTGTGGATTAATAAATCGAGTAGTATCACTGAAATTCCTTATACAATTCACTGTAGGACAAAGCTAAGCAGATAAACCTTTATTCAGTGAAGGAGATGTATCTAATTATTAGTTTTTAACTCAGTTCTTTAAGCTAGAAATGAATTACTAATTAATGAGATTATGAAGTATTATTGAACGAGTTCACTAGGACATGTACCATGTATACTTGTTCAATTAATCTCTATCATATTAGATAAAATAGAAGCGAGCTGAATGAAGATAAAAGACAGGCAGACAGTTTTAATCATAGCCATTATTGAATGGTTGACAAAAGGTTCTCGTAAATATTAGGAGGCTTGTTAGAAATACACTGATATATCCAAACTGCAGCTGCTACGTTAACGAGGTAGTCAGGCTTGAACATCGCCATGACCTAATCGAGGTATATATTGACCGGAACACTCGTTCACTTAAACCAGCTGGAGAGCAGTAGGACTAAAATTAGCAAGCTTGTGGTCCGACGGCGAAGTCATACAGCTGACTGTATGGGAGATATGACGGCAGTAGAGTGTTTCTCTCAGACAACCAACATCTCGAGAGATGCTGACTTCTGACAATGGGTGGAGTTAAAGGTCGATCCTGATGACAGAACACCTTACCTTACCCGTGGATCACATGATTCTCCGTCCTCAGCGGTAAGGTCTTAAAGTTACGAACTTAACTCATCTAAAACTGCTCTAAAAGGACTGCGGGTAACTGGCCTCTAGAATTTCTTACTTAGGGACCGTACGTCCGCTCCTAGGTCGTCAAGACTACTCATAACACAGTTTTCTTTTCAGGCACTTTGAGAAGTATCCTTTTACTGTATAAGCAACTGCGAGGTGAAGAATGACTTCATACTTTTAACTGAACATAAGGTTAACGTTTTCATAATCAAGCATTGATCTATGTAATAAATAAAGCTGATTACATATATTAATGCATATTATGCTGCCTAGTTCAACAAAACTGGAAGAAGATACACAGTATACAAACGAGTAGATGTTAGACTTCCAAGAAAAAGTTAACGATAAATATAAGTTAATCATGTGTCGAATTTCAAAATTGCCGTTTAAAATTCGTAAGATTAAAGGCTCTTGGGACAATGAGTTAAAATAGTTCCTAAATGATTTTCTAAACAGAATTTTCTGAACTTTTTTTCAAAATCATATACATCAAGTTAATTACTTTTTTATTTATCCATATCCTATAAGTTGTTTTATGTCTTTTTCCATTATCTGTGTATTTCAGCCAGTCAGTCAGCAACAACGTAGAACTTCGTGCGTACGTACATACATCAGTTCAAGATGCCATATCACATTAGCACAGAGATACAATTGTCCATTCAAATCCCATAGTGGTAGAGGTGGTATATCTCTAATCACCGGTTGCTATGGTCTCGCGGATCCCAACCAGGTAGTTTACACTTACCAGTTACTGATTACAATCAATATAAAGAATCATAAACTCTTTAATCACAATTGAAGATATTAGATTATATGAATGAAAACTGTTACCGATAGCCGAAATATATCAACTATTCTTACTTTTAAATATTAATCGTTTATTAATCATAATTTCGCCATATGCAAAATTTATTATGCATTTATGAAACAGCTTACACTCATAATAATACATAAATGGTCTGAATTATCATACTATCAAATTAATTATTCAGTTATTAACCTATAACTCAACAATATTTTAATATAATTAGTGGTAGTTGCGACCAAGTTATACTTTAAATATTGTAGAATGGTAATCATATCTGCCACTCTGATAAGGTGGTTGAGTTTAGGCTATTATGAAAAAAGAATAGAGACTTCGGAATAGAAAATGTTTCCTTTTTAACTCTTGTCATACTAGGTGGCCTCGTAGTGTAGCGGTTAGCACTGTGGACTTTGAATCCAGCGACCCGAGTACGAGTCTCGGCGGGGCCTAGTGCTATGGGCACTTTTTGCCCCCAAACGCCCTGGTATGGCTGAGAGTGGGGTGGGTTCGCCCGTCCTCTCGAAATACTCTCACACGGCCACGCGTATACAGCCTCTGCCAGGGAAGTCCTACTCACTGCCTTCTCACACCAGGGGTGTTGTTTACGAAAATGAGAGGACGAAAAGCGAATGTCCGGCGCTTTAACCGGATTCCAAACCAAACCAATGGTGCACATGGGCTCCAGTATCCTGCGGGAACAAATGGCGTATGAACCAATCGTTGATCACCGGCTACCATGGGACTGCATCTCCTTACGATGCTCCACTGCCTTGTGAGTTAGACCTTTAGGTCAAAGGCTCGGGGTGTGGCCCCCTAAGATAACCACCTGCTTCGGTCTGGGCACCCGGGCAGTAACGCAGCCCACACGCAATTAATGAACTGAAATTGTGTGGCGCATATATGTTTGGCGCACTCCTGTACCAATATATATGTGTTCAAATAAAATAAATAAAATAATAAAACTTGTCATACTAGACAGGTCGATCGGATAGTGTTAAGAGTAAAAGCGAAAAAAATCTACGTCATTTCAAAATCTCAAAAGGACGATGAACGAGGGCGGCTTAAATATAGATTGATAAAAGAATACTGTGGCCAAAGAAAGTTGGTTAAAACTGAAAAGGCTGAGGTAGCAAGTAACAATAAACTCTTATTTAGACCTATCCAATAAATTATAGCCTGAAATCAACCAATGAAAAAGACGGGTCAGTGGCTAATCTTTAAGCCAAGTTGTTGGAAGAATAAGCAGAACACTTTGAAGAACAGTTCAATCGGCTTTCAATTACATTCTAAATGCACGCTACTCATCAACTCTAGACTAATATTTATGGTATAAAGGGGCTATGGTGTTTGGACGGTCCAAGTAATGCCATCTAGTTAAACTAATGTTGATTACACAAGTTTGTAAAGGTAAAAATCCTCTTCTAATAGCCATAGAGTGATTAATTTGAGGAAAAGCTCAACTGGCTTTCAGATATTGTCCAGGTGTTCACCATCCGAAAAAGGTTTGAGAAGGTTGCGAAAGCGTTAAATTTAGTTCAACAAAGAGAATGGGTATATTAGTCAGTCAGTCAGTCAGTAACAACGTAGAACTTCGTACGTACGTACATCAGTTCGAGTTGCCACACCACATTAGCACAGAGATGCACTTGTCGATTCAAATCCCGTAGTGGTAGAGGTAATAAGAGTATAAGCAGTAATCGGGAAGATTAGGGTTTGGAGATGTTATTTAAAGAGTATAATCCAGTGAAATAAATTTGGAAAGAGGAAAAAAGGGACATGAAGAATTCAGAAGATTAGAATTTGGGTGAACACAGAGAGTGGATGCACCTGCGCCATTGCAAACGATTTTGAGCCATGTCATTCAGGGTCTCTAACCATCGGTTGCTATCATCTCGCGGTCCCCAACCAGGTAGTCTACACCTACCAACATGACTCAGTCCACTTGTCAGTGACTTCATGGACTTGTGCCATGTTTTGGTTTGCCCGCCCCTAGCTTTCTTCCAACCTACTCCTATACCACTGAACATAGCACGTCGAGGCAGTCGGTCGTTGGGCATACGTAACACGTGTCCCAGCCATCTCAACTGATGAAGTTTCACTACTTCATCAATTGATTTGCCATCCTTACCTAGTACCCGTTTCCCAACAACTGTGTTACTTACTCGATGGTCCCATGATATACGAGCAATGTTTCGAAGACACCTATGATCGAATACTAGTAACCTACGGATATCCTCTACTCTTACCGGCCATGTTTCACTGCCATAAAGTAGGACGGAACGAACTGCTGCGCAGTAAACACGTCCTTTGGTTGATAGACGGATATCTCGCCTACGCCATAAATGACGCATGTTGACAAAAGCTACTGTCTGTTGGCTTAGGTTGTGTAGGAAAGTGAAGGCTTTCTCGTTATATTACTACTATTCACGTTATCCTATTTCTAAACCTAATCTTAAATTGATAATATCGTCAAAGCGATTTCTTAAATAAAACTTTTTCACCTTTAAATTTTAAACAAAAAAATTCATAACTCACAGCCCAATTGGCTAATTTGGGATTTATTCCTAGCAAACGTTTCATATCTGCAACACGACAATCGATAACTGCCATCCACCATAAACGAGTTTCGTTGCTAGTAAATGTGGAATAGACGGAAGGACGAACAGCAGTAACATTGATAGAAGTAGCAGGAGTGGTAATAGCGGTGGTAGGAACTAACTGAGGAGAAGAGGGAGGTGTCTTATGGGCCACTGGCTAGTATAATATAAAAAGCACATATACAAAGTCATTTTTCAAAAAGTAGTGATGTAATATATATTACAACAAAGTACTATTAGACTTATATGATGGGCGATAGAATATTAATTGGCATACATTTAAAAATCTCCAGTAGTTTAGAATATAATTTGAGGCTAGACACTTAGCTTCTGATAAGAGATAATCTTAATGAACCACTGTGATTTCAAACATCCTAATATCACATTCTACTGGTTTACGTAGCGGAAAGCTCTTCAGAACAGAAGCCAGTAACTCAGGTATCAAGTAAAAACTCATGTATTCAACTATAAAAGTTGTCCAAACCCATGTGGGTAGGGTGGGACCTAAACCTGAAACCCAATTGTTGAAAGTAAAGTCTTAAACACTAAACCAACTTATAACCATCTAGCTGTGAACAAAAAGGTTTCTAGTTAAAAGAAATTAAATCCTTTCCCAACGACATGAACGAACCAAGTAAAAAAAACACTAGGACAGGTTTTGAAAATAATTAAACGTCTATATTTATGGGCGTTTTTAACGAAATTATCCAACATGAAAATCATATCTATTTTGCTATTTTACGCAGTGGTAACGGATAAAACCTTTTGCAGTTGGTGGTTACAATATTATTTTTTAATGCATAACGTACAACAATACCATAAATTAATATCATCAACTAAAAATCAGTCCAATCGAAACTACTTCCTATTTTGAAAGTTTACATCTACATTTAAAAAATTCAAGTAGATAATTACACAATATTCTTACCAATTTTGTTGACTGACTTCCTTGATGTGATAAAACCTGAAATCACTGTCGCTGAAAAGAACTAACAAGCTTACGGTTGATTTGGGGACATTTTGGTTTTCTGAAGACTGTGAAGTTGTTGTTTGAGTAGATTGACACATCTGATAGATAATTAAACCCAATGGGTGAACTTACATTACAAGCTAGATTCTCTTTATCTCGAGCTAAATCTTTCAACACCAAATATCTCTTTTTGTCCTGAAAAAAACATGCATACGCAAGATATCATGGATTTCCTACCGAGTCATATTCAACCACAGCAATTGAAGTAATTAGTTTCTTAATAGAATACCGTGTTTCTGAAACAAAAATTTTCAATGGGTCATGATATATAAAACTAAAACAGTCAGGTGAAAAACTTTTAATGTCGATTTACTCGAGGTGCTTACCATGAGCCGAAAATACAGTGATTACTTATTGAAAAGCTTGACCTGATATCACCGTGTGGTTAGAAATTATTTCCGCAAACAGCAACAGTGAAACGATAATATTGATACTTCGTGAAACTAAATGTATTTGAATTCCAAAACAAATAAAAATGATCTCCCACTTCTACTTAATAACTAAAAGTGTGTAGACTGGTTTGATTTATCTCTGAAGTGTGAAGTTTCATAATACTTCACAGATGTAAATTTAAGCGTCTAAATGAGATCGTCACGTTTTAATGATACAGATAATATGTACTTGAACGTAAGAAATGATGTGTACTGTTTTGTAGAATCTAAGTTAAATTCAAGATACTTGTTTATAAAACCCATTTACAAATACATGAAACAACTGATGAAACTTTAATACAGTAGTAGTATATAAATTATCTATTTGAACCATTCTTATCCTTAAAATTCACGACCTGAGATTCACACAATTATAAAGACGGACTGAATTTTTGAACCTACATGTCACAGATAAATTTCAGGGAACGACAAAAACTAAATAATTTGCATAGATCTCAATTAAGAATACTTTACAAAAGACATGTTAACGAGCACATTGAAAATCTCAATTTTGATTAGCTAGCTGCTAACTATAAATGATTACATAGGATTTTGCATTGAGGCAGTGGAGCTGTAAGCTGTCAGGAAAGGAGGATGAGTGAGACAGGTGATGACAACTGTAAGGAAAATCCAATCTGGGATTTCTGCTTACCAAACAATACAGTTTGAAGTCATAACCACAACCCTAGTAATTCTATTAACACACTTATATAAAATAAAACATAAAACCCTACTAACCATTTTCGAGAGTTAAAAAGACGACAGAAAGGTATGTATATTTGCTCTGTAACAATGGCTAGTAATGCAAACCATACGTATGGTTGTGACTATACAAGGCATAGAAGTGGGATCATCAGTAATAATATGCATCACTATATTACTAGTGCTAACCAATCGCCGGGTTTCGCAGGAATTCTGAGAAATTTTGAGATTTTTTCCAAATTCATACGAAGATCTGTAGTTTACCCTCAAATCTGAGAAAATTGTGGTAATTCCAAAACTTTCACTAAATAACTTAATATTTTTTGGAAAAAGCATTGAACAGGGGAAACTTAAGGTTTGTGTTGCAGTCTTCTAGAAGATTTCAATTGCAGCTTCCCGAAAATTTCCACAAAACGAGCAAAATGAAACCTAAAAGTCGGGAGATTGCGCAGATGGCGAGACAGTAGTAATCCTAATCAAACTGGTTGTGGTTGAAGTACTTTCCAGACACATTTCTAAGGACTCAAATGAAAATTAAATGGTAGGGACAATACAACTAAGTACGTTAGCCATTGTATTATTCAAGTAAAAAATACGTATTTAGAAGCAACCCATAATCCGGTTATACAGCATTGTAGTACACACAGAAGTGCAGTGAATTACCTCGGTTTAATAGTTCGTCATCTTTAATGAATTTGAGGATCTGTTCACCAGAAACACGACCTCCGAAATCGTTAAAAGCTTGAACCAGCCTTGACCTTGCATCTATAGACATTTAAATGATGCACTGAAGACAGTATCTTTTCGCTACCACAGTTGTTTTACTGCAGTCGTAAATAAAATATTTCTGATTACAACGCTCATGAAAAAATAACCCATCTCAACTAAATACTTGATAATATGCTTCATTATAGTGATTGACCCTTAATATCAAACTCTGACCTTGGTGTAAATTGGTCAAGTGATGTACATTAATTAACTTGCCCATAGGATGTGTCAATAAAATGCGTGATAGTGTAAATTATAGCGATTCAAACTTGAATAAACTGTTTTGTCTTGTTTCTTGAGTCGTCTAATTATGTAGTATCAGATAATCACTATCAAATTGGATAAATAAAAGGAGCCATATTAACATGAAAACAAACATTTGATACGCCATACGTTAGCACTACATTCTTTCTGAATCCACTGAGAAATAGCATTCTAATGACCTGTTATCTGACTCCGATTTGAATGAACGAACGAATATGTCGTGAACATAAATCTTCCCTTTAACTTTATATACAACTACTAGGCCAATCTAGACCGAGCGACAGTAGTCATTAAAGGCCAAATATAAATTGAGTGGGATGAATTTATTTCAGCTATTCGTCCGGCATTGAAATTAGAAGCGTGAAAGCAAAACAAAGAGGATAGTTTGCCAACACCCCTATATTATATATTACAAGTGTTAATAGAGCTCAAAATGGATAATCCATAATGTGATGGAGAGACGAGCAGAAAAATCTAGAAAACTGAATAATAACATAGGTGGAGCCTGTCCACACCACTCACCTCAGTTCAGTATTTTTCGTTCTCTTGTCACTTACCTCTGCTGATATGTTGTTCATTCTGATAATACGCATGATAGTGCGTTATCTAAACAAGACGGTTTTTAGCCTATTGATACTTACTGAGTCAGTGTTTTCTTGCTTTTATATCACGATAAAGTCTACTGCTTCGTCCTAAGCATCCACCACCAAAGTAACCGGGAAATGGGAATTCGGATACGTCGATGTAGATGCATGAGATGGCTTAATCTTTAGCTACTTGACAGCCTTGGAAGTCAGCTTAAATCCTTCTGGTTTTCCTCTAAGTGAATCTGTCAAAGGTTTCATAACTCGGGCACAACCAAGTACGAATCTGCGATAAAAGTTAACCAAACCCAGAAAACCATTAATTTATGTCGTAGAACTTGGTATAAGCTATTACCTAATTGTGTCCAACTTTTCTTTGACAGGTGGAATCCCTTATGAACATATTGTTTGACCGTTAAGTTCTAGAGATCAAACACTCAATACACATCTGTTTTGATGTGAGTTCATTCCATTTTCATTTAGCTGTTTTAACGTTGCTCTCACGTTCCGTCCGTGTGACTTTGTATCCTGACTGGCAATTAGTAAATTGTCTACAGTGTTAAACTTCGTCTTTTAGTGTTGACTATAAAGTCATATCTCTCTAAAAAAAATCCCTTTCCAGGATTGCCCGATCTAAGTCAGCTACGGTAAACACCTAGACGAATTTCCTCTTAAAACCCAAATCTAGTGTCAACGTTTTCCGCCCAAACGTCGCAATTTCAAGTTTTTTTTTGGCAACTTGAGGTGTAGCTGTGGAAGTTTCCCGGCTCAGCTCGGTTTCGTTCTGAGAAATCATACTAAAGACAGCACCAGTATCCACCCAAAACTTCAAGTGTGAATTCCTCTCTCTCTGATATGAAATAAGCGACTGTTGAAGCAGCCCTCACCAGTCGTCCCTACCTGGGGACAGGTTATTAGTTTCCTATATTCTTGAGAGCCTTTTTAGGCCAGGCACATGGTTGGCTGCACTTGTTTGATCTGACACTGAACTCCCAGTGATACCAGCAGAACTCACCAGTTTGTCTGAACGTTTTTAACCTGTTCTATGACGTGGATCTTCGTCGATGTGTTGACCTGCTCCTGTTTCCATGACCCATCCGCATCTTGGCTAGACCCTCTGTGAGACTTTTAACACTCGCAGTGAGTTGTTCTATGACTAGGTCTATCATTGTTTAGTGTATTGAATGTGATTTATTGCGCGTGATTCAGTTGGGAGGCCTCTTTTAGCTATTCTATCTGCTAATTTAAATAAAGAGTTGTCCGTGTTTTGAGTATCTAAACAGTATTGGATAAAGCATGAGAGAGTTTGCATCCATTTCTGCTCCATCCACTGTGTTAATGCCTACTAAGACTTAGAGGTGACGTAAAAACTGTAATGGTGATCTGATGTTTTTCCCAAAGAAGGTCTCTAAATTCTTCGGTCGCTTGATAAAGGTAAACGGTTAATTATCCCTCATCTTAAAATGGTGTATGGTTGTGGTGTTGGTGCATTTCTTTGTCAACTGAAGGAGGAAGACAGGGCATTAATCTCCGTAACGAATTCCCACAGATTTAATGTTGTTTCTCGCGAAATAATGCTCTAGTTGATCAAATCGAAACTCGAGGTCACTACGATCAAATCACGTGAATCTAACTTTCGTACTTATAACAGTGTCTATCTTTGCCGGTGACAAATCACACTTATCCAGGCTTTCAGTTTGGATTGAGTTTGACACGTGCTGTGTAACCAATATATCAATATAATATGAATGGGGTTAAATAATGTCTACAACACGAATACTTTGCCAAAAAATACGGTAGATATAAATATACATATACGAATTTTTGTTACAGATAATGAGAAGGATTGCATTTACAAACAAGAAGAAAAGCAGAACATAAATTAAATTTGTGTTCAAATAGAGCTCACCAATTTACTGAATTTGTGTACTTCTCATTCTATTGACAGACGAAGCCAAACTATAAGTGTTGAACTATAGGTGTTTGATATTACTAACACATTCACGGTCAACTCCTAACCGATCGACCTAGATTGTTACAGGCTCAGTGCGGCTGGTCAAATGAAGAGTTTTTAAAAGTGTTATCCTCACCTATTACGCCGTTTCTAAACCTCACCGACTAGCTTGTATCCTTTATCCTTGACTAGCCGCTCTGGTTTATCTACTTTCTATTCTAGTTTCTACGTTATATCTTTTTCTCCACAGTAGTTGACTCTTCTTAGAGTAGACCTCGTAAGGCTTGGAACCTATGGCTGACAGCAACTTTATATTCGCTCAAGTTGCCAATATTTCGAAGGAACGCTGTTTCTTCAGTTTATCAGTGCTTTTTAGCTTAATTTGTCTTTGCAATCATCAGGTAGTGGTCTGAAATTATGTCAGCTCCTCTCCTGGATTTAACATCTACCGTTGTCCTTCTGAACATTTTGGCGATGCGAATATAATCGATATGGTTTTCTGTAACGTGATCCGGTGATGCCTATGTAGCCTCGTGTTTGTGGGAGAATATAGTCCCACCCACGGCCATGTTGTTGAATGCACACAAATAGGTAAATCAGTCGCCAGTCTCGTTCCTTTCTCCCAGCCAGTTCATGCGTTCATGATATCTTCATATCCAGTGTTGTCTGCATCGACTTTCGTGGTTATAGACGGAATAGAAAAAGCTCTCGCTTAATGAGCCTTCGTATCTAGTAACAGTATATCACCGAAGCCTCTATGTAAGAACCTAGGTATTTTTAACGATAAAAGCGAGAAAGGGATTAGTAAGTTATGGCGAGATACTGTCCTTAAGATTATATTAAGTTTCCTCTTGATGAACTCCTGGAAAGTCGCTTGGGCTAGCTCAATCGGCAGTGAATTCCAACATTTGTCAACTCTAACGGAGTAGACGGTGTGCCTAGAGTCCTTTTTGCTGCGTTGTTTATACAGTTTCTGGGTGCTACCTTAAGGTTTGTGTTGAGACTGTGCTTAATTAGGTGGTTAAGGGGTTGTCCAAAATTGTTTAGGATGTTATGATTCATTAGGACACTTCTAAGACGCCTGCATTCAAATGAGTAAGGATTCATTGATTGGAGGCGATCTTCTCACTACTCGAATTTGAGTCCACAAACTAATTTCGTGGCTCGCTATTGAATACGTTCCGATGTACACTTATCCTCTTGGAGTGAGGGAGGAAATACTGTTTCCGTACCCTAAGTGGAGTCGAATAAAATTGTCGAGGGCTATATGGAAATTTTTACCATTGAACTGGCCAAGAACGCGCTTCAACTTCAGCCGTGCAAGGCTTGCTCGAAAGGCATTCTTGCCGCAGTTAACATAGGACTTCAGATCATAGCGTAATAACACTTCTAGATCCTTTTCAACCTAGATACTTCTAGAGGGGAGTTGACTAAATTGTGTTTGTGGCCTGCAGCATGTCTCAGATGAACAACCTTACACTTTAAAGTGCCATAGATGATTCCGTTGTTGTCAGCACAACTTTAAAGTCGAGTCAGATCGTCCTGAAGTGCCAGTTCATCCTCTTTGTAGCATACTTATCTCCAGAGTTTCACGTATTCAGCGAAAAACAATGAATCCGACGACAATCCTGTGGACGACCACTTATTTAAATGAAAAAAAGAAGAGGTCCTATTACTGTAGGCTGAGAAAGATGACGTTAATCCAGATCTTAAAACGCCCACTATTTAGATATGAAGTGAGCCAATTGATAAGACATATGTGATTGACCACATGAAAAGCTCTTGAGAAGTCAAAATATATAACCCCAACGTTCCCAGTGTGATCAAGCACGATTGTCCGTTTGTCCACTTCGGTCAGAAGATTGGTTATATTAGAATGACCTTTTCTGAAACCGTGCTGTTGAGATAAAAAGAAGTTTACGGATGCTAAATAGTCACACAGAAAGTCATATATCAGGGAGTCTATAATTTTCAAAGGTATTAATAGTAGTGCTGCGGTTCGGTAGCCTGATGTTTTGCTGCGTCGACCTCTTTAGAAAATATGTGTGACGTAAGTTAGATTCCAACTTTCTGGTAATGTGCTTCGTCTTTGCGAATGTGGGGACATTACGCTAAGCAGTATTGCCAAGGATGAAGCTGCTCCCCTCAGTACGGTAGGCTGGGTCATATACGGGTGTTCTTCATAGGTGCTACGATTTCCTGTAC